AGATATAGACGTAGAACGGGCCAGGCAGATCTTTAGTTTCACCAGCTGTCCTCCACGTTTACCGCGGTAACAACGACGTTTCCGCCGGGGGGGCAGCGCAGGTGCCCGGAGGAGATGAGCTGGGACTCCTGACAGGAGCGGGGGTAAGTTTTCTGTCCACCATAATCAAAGGCATTGAGATTGCCAACAACACGTCGAATATCCAGGAGGGACTGGCGATTGTACACAAGCACAGACTTAGTGCTGAGCACAAAACTGAGAAATAAAACAAACCAAACCAAGAGCGACAGACGGACAGCCACACACACTGGCACCATCTTGAAACCACCCATAAAGTAGAGCAGTAACGGTGTCCAAACCACCCTCCAATCGCTCCATCTAGCTCGCTTTGACTATTTTCTTCGGCCACCAAGCACAACACCTGCACTTCTGCATTTGACCACAGCTTTGATATTATTGTTTTTGTATAGCTTCAAAATACTAAAATATACGCTCCTCGAGTTATTGTTAATAGCAAGCGGGAGAGGAAAAAATGGCGGATCGGGTTGTTTGGAAAGACTCCACAGACTCCTCCCCACGACCAATCAGTGACCGAAAGTGTTTCTGATGTCACGGCTCGGCTCACTTGGACCCCTTGAGAAGCCGGGCCAGAATTTAGGGAGGCGAGCCGGTCCCAGGAACCATGGAAAAGACCTCAAACACTGGCCAAGCCGGAAATATCCGACCCACTCCGTGACAGTGGAAAAGGGGCAAAACAGACCACAGTCAGTGAGGATCCACAACTTCTCCTCCTCCACCATAACCCTCAGCACTGGCTCCCCTCAGGGGTGTGTACTGAGCCCTCTCCTGTTCACTCTGCTCACGTATGACTGTGCACCTACCCATCCAGGCTGTCACAGTTTAAAGTTTGCAGATGATACAGCAGTGGTGGGATGTGTCACAAACAACGATGCGTCCAGCTACAGGCAGGAGAGCTGGTACAAGATGAATAACCTTCAGAAGGAACAAACACACCTACCCTCCCTGAACATAGGAGGATCTACAGTGGAAGTGATCTCCAGCTACAAGTATTTGGGTGTGCACCTGATTGACAACCGCAGCTGGGGCAACAACACTACTAGCCTAATCAAGAAAACTCATCAGAGACTACTTCCTCAGGCGGATGAGACGAGCTGGTCTGAGAAGCTCATTCCTCACTTCATTCTACTTGTGTGCAGTGGAGAGCATCCTGTGCTCCAGCATCAACGTGTGGCATGGAGGCTGCACAGCTGCAGAAAGAAAAGATTTGCAGAGAGTGGTGGAGTCTGCACAGAAGATGTTGGAGTCAGTCTCCCCACCATCACAGACATTTACACCTCCAGATGCAGGAAGAGGGCAACCTGCATCATGAAGGACCCCACTCACCCAGCACACACAATTTGTGCCACACTGTCCTCAGGAAGGAGGTTGAGGAGCATTAAGTGTAGAACTATTAGACTGAGGAACAGCTTCTACCCTGAGGTGGTTAGACTCATGAATATCTAACCACAATAATCACTGTGAAAAATAACATCATGTTGCTGCTGATCTGTTTCATGTTGCTGTGTTCATTTGTACTCATCTGCTCACACAGACACATGTTGTGCTGCTGTTTGGCGTATTGTGTTTATTGTTTTTATGTTACTAGTGCTTAGCGTATTTTTAGCTGATGTTTTTCTTAGTTCATATGTTAGATCTCATTACTGTTTTTCTTTTACGTTTTATTTTTGGATGGAACTGGGGCTCTGTGTGCATCATTTTGTTTCACCACATGTACCACATGTGATACGAATAACAATAAAAAATCTATGGATCTCTGAATTTCATACAACCCCCTCACCCCCACCCCCCAAAAAATAATCCATTGGTGGGATAAACTGAGTCGTTTATTTTCTTAACACAACATCCCAGTGGCTTTTAAACCCCAAAACACATCACGGCAAAGACTGGTTCACCCCAAAGATCCAGTCCCCCGGCACAGAGTAATATTGTGTATGCTGTTCAGTGTCAGGAGGGCTGTGATCAGTCTTACGTCAGGGAAACCAAACAGCCACTGACCAAAAGGATGGCCCAGCACAGAAGATCAACAACATCAGGCCAGGACTCCGCGGTCTACACTCATCTCCAGTCCAGCGGTCACTCTTTCAGGGATGAAGATGTTCACATCCTGGACAGAGAGGAACAATGGTTTGAGAGAGGACTAAAGGAGGCCATCTTTGTGAAAATAAATCGTCCATCATTAAACAGGGGTGGAGGCCTCCGGGTTCAACTGTCCCCCTCTTACAATGCTGTGATAGCTAGTATCACTCAGCCTCCTAAATATGTTGATTCAAAATTTCACAGTGTCAACAAATATCAAAAAAGTTGGGACAAGTAGCAATAAGTGGCTAGCAAAAGGAAATTGAGCATATAACGAACAGCTGGAAAACCAATTAACACTAATTAGGTCAATTGACAACATGATTGGGTATAAAAAGAACTTCTCAGACTGTCAGTGTCTCTCAGAAGCCAAGATGGTAAGAGGATCACCAATTCCACCATTGTTGCGCAGAAAGATAGTGCACCAATACCAGAATGGTGTTACCCAGCGTAAAATAGCAAAGACTTTTAAGTTATCATCATCAACCGTGCATAACATCATCAAAAGATTCAGAGAATCTGGAACAATCTCTGTGCGTAAGGGTCAAGGCCGTAAAACTCTACTGGATGCTCGTGGTCTCCGGGCCCTTAAACGTCACTGTACCTCAAACAAGAATGCCACTGTCAAGGAAATAACAGAATGGGCTCAGGAATACTTCTAGAAAGCATTGTCAGTGAACACAATCCACCGTGCCATCTGCTGTTACCAGCTGAAACTCTACAGTGCAAAGAGGAAGCCATTTCTAAGCAAGCTCCACAAGCTCAGACGTTTGCACTGGGCCTGGGGTCATTTAAATTGGAGTGTGGCAAAATGGAAGACTGTTCTATGGTCAGATGAGCCACGATTTGAAGTTCTTTATGGAACACTGGGACGCCATGTCATCCGGACCAGAGAGGACAAGGATAGCCCAAGTTGTTATCAACGCTCCATTCAGAAGCCTGCATCACTGATGGTATTGGGTTGCATGAGCGCTTGTGGCATGGGCAGCTTTCATGTCTGGAAAGGCACCATTAATGCAGAGAACTATGTTCAGGTTCTAGAATAACATATGCTCCCATCTAGACGTCATCTCTTTCAGGGAAGACCCTGCATTTTTCAACACGATAATGCCAGACCACATTCTGCAGCAATCACAACATCATGGCAACATAGGAGAAGGATCCGGGTACTGAAATGGCCAGCCTGCAGTCCAGAACTTTCACCTATAGAGAACATTTGGCGCATCATAAAGAGGAAGGTGCGACAAAGAAGGCCCAAGACGATTGAACAGTTAGAGGCCTGTATTAGACATGAATGGGAGAGCATTCCTATTTCTAAACTTGAGAAACTGGTCTTCTCTGTCCACAGAGTGTTGTAAGAAGAAAGGGGGGATGCCACACAGTGGTAAAAATGGACTTGTCCCAACTTTTTTGGGATTTGTTGATGCCATGAAATTTGGAAACAACAGATTTTTCCCTTAAAATGATAATTCTCTGTTTAAACATTTGATCTATGATTTGTGTTCTATTCTGAATAAAATATTAGATGTTGGCACCTCCACATCATTACATTCAGTTTTTATTCACAATTTGTTTAGTGGCCCAACTTTTTTGGAATCCGGTTTGTATTATGAAAATAGTTCCAAGCAGAGTTCACGTCATCAGTTAATAGAATACAATGCCAGTCAAAGTGGGATAGATCCAAGAAGAATGACCTTTCACAAAAACGTTTCAGATCCCTTTTTTGAATTAATCTGGGCTTAGAAGGTGGACGTTTCTTATCTCTGAGAGTCACTGTTACACAAAGATCACTCAAAATTTTAGCGAATACACCTGTACCAGGGAATTTGGTAGGCATATTTGTTAGACACAGGTCTAAGATAGAAGATTTTTCAGGACGGTTTTTGTTTGGTCTAGTGGTAGTGTCGATCAGTTGGGTTAGATTGTGTGACAGGCAACATTCCTTGAATTTATCACAGAGGGGGTCGACTTACCCCAGTCAATGTTGAAATCTCCTGCCTAAAAAATATCTTTGAAGTTTAAATTTCCAAGGAATTCCATCAGGGAGGACAGAGCCTCAGGTGTTGCTGAGGGGGGACGATAACAACCCACTACAGATAAAATCTGGCCTCCATTCAAAGTGATGTTTCCATCTATGGCCTCAAACTGGTTTGGAATTGTTTTAGCAGACACAAGACTAGAAACCAGAGAATCTCTGATGTAAATAGCGACTCCACTCCCACTTTTTTGACGATCACAGCAATAGATGTTAAATCCATTGATTACCAGGTCGTTATTCAGTACAGATTTGTTGGGCCAGGTTTCAGAGATGAAGATTACATCTGCCTCAGAAGAACTGACCAGAATTTTCAAGGCATCAAGTTTTCTCAAAATGTTACGTGCTTTTACATGCAGAAAATGAAGTCTTTGCATGTTTTTAAAGTCATTTTGTGTGCAGTAATTAGTGGGGGGTCCATGGTTGGTCTGAATCCCTGAGAGCAGTAACAACATTATTATCAGACATTTTCTTTTCATTTTCAGACCCCTCCATGATTTCTAAGTGGGAGAACTTGCAAAGTTGCAGGGTGTTCAAATACTTATTTTTCTCACTGTATTATAGCAATCTTTATCGGCTTATGGCCTAGTTTATGCATCTAACAGATATTGTAGCAATCTTTATATGTTCTATTTCCAAACAGACGGCGACCTAACTGCCTGTTTTAAAGGTTTTAAAGATGTTGTCATCCTTTTATGGTCCCTGTCAAGTCATACACATCACTGAAGGTCCATTATCTGAACATCATTACCATGGCAGTGACATTTCTTCGGTCATGTTGACTGAACCTCCTGTCTGTGTTCCACAGGCTTCTGGCCATCTGTGACATATCTGCTGACACCGGAGGCTCCATAGAGTTTATGAACGAGTGCACCACCATTGATAAGCCATTCTGCATGTACGATGCCGACCAGCACATTGATCATGACAGGTAAGTTGCAGGCAGTGTTCTTTCACTAATACAATGGAATACCATTTTTATTGATCCTAAATAATAATTCTGCAGAAACACTTCACATTAATGAAGTGAAGAAATGCATTCTAAATATTTTTATATAAAACTGAGAGGTAGTGTTATCTCATGTTTTTATTCCTTTTGTTTGCAAACCCCAATCTTTATTAAATTAAAAAGTTAAATAGGGCAGTCTAGGTAAAAAATAAAACTTTCTACAATCTGTATCGACTTTCTTCTAAAGCTTAATAGTATTTGGGTTCCTATTTTGTGTGATAAGTTGGACAAATGGCTGCATTCTTATGTCTTTTTTTTTTTTACATTCTTATGTCTAAACTGCATCAAAAGTTGATATAGTTGGAAATTCTGTCTGTATCCACGTGGTCTCATAAACTTTTCATTACCTCAGCTTCAAGGTCAAGGTCATAAATCAAAGTCAACACTTATGTAGTATGTCGGGACAGCTTTCGCTGTGGACATCCTATTAATTAATTATTCTTAAGGCTAGTTCAAGCACAAAGAATATTAATTGTTTAATTAACAACGGATTCTTTCTTTTTCGAGTTAAATTTCTGCCATGTGACCAAGATAACTTGAGAGTGGAGTGTATAATTAGAGACATGAGACGTTGTTTATCTTTGACCCATCAGAATAAATGCGGTCATTTATTTAACAGAATCAAAATTTAACATCAAACATGTACACTTGATTGACTGATCTGTTTCTGATTAATAAACTTAGCAAGTTGAAATAACAAGACAACAGAGGATTACTGATGGAGAATAATTCATCTCTGAAGGCATTTAGCTTGATTTACTGGCAAAGAGGTTTAAAGAGGAGATTTAGAGGTTTAAAGAGGAGGATTTAGATGGATGAAGGAAAATGTGTTGACTAGGAATGGCACCCTTCATCCGACCCCAGCTCAGCCCCGGTACACTCGGTGCGTGATGACTCGTTACCTTTACAGAAGATAAATCAGCTCTGGTACAGAGGTCCATTTCACGCTACCTTTCAGCGTCTCCGGTCAGAGTGGCTGGGAATCGTCCGAAGTAGTGACGGTACTCCGTTCAACAGAATAAGCTTCCTTAGAAGTTGAGAGCATTTAATGCTCGGGGTGAGATCACAGCAAAGCGTGCTTTGACTCTGCTGAAAATGGAAATGGCCCTTGGCTCATGGTCAAATTCCATCATCTATTTAGTTCAGCTGTAAGACTCCAGCAAGACTACAGTCCCAGCAAGACTCCAGTAAGACTGAGTCCATTAAGACTGAAAGTTCCAGTCAGAACTCCAGTAAGACTTCAGTAAAACTTCTGTAAAAACTGAATAGTTCCAAGAAGTGTTGACTTTTAAAGGGTATCCACTTCCTGTTACTTGGTACTTCCTGATTGGTTAACACAACCAGCAGGGGTGGAGTTTTAGTGATGTCAGAGGGTTATTAGAAGTCCCAGACAGCATAAATGTTTTTAAGAATGGTTAGTAACAGACAGGAAAATATTTTGAAGAAGTGACAGACTTGCAGGCGTGCCAGTTTCTTATTTACTGTCTGAGAGTTTTAAAACAAGGCACTTCGTTCTCATAACTTGTTCTCTGACTTTTGACAGACATCAACACTCCACTCCTCATTCAGACAGAAGAGTAAAATGTACAATTACTTTGTAAATAGACATTGAACTTGTATGATCTAAATCTAATGAGGTTTAAAAATCATTAATACTGTTTCACAGTTGATTTAAATGAGTGGTTTACTTCAACATTAGAAATGGTGTGAACTAAACACACTTGATTATCAAGATATTGTAAAATAGTAATGATAATATAAAAAAAAAAGAAAAGTGTTCTTTCAATTGATTAATTCAGGATACAATTAAATAGTCTCTTGATGAGATAATTTGTATTTCTGGATTCAAATCAATGAAATAACAGTTCCTGTCCCCTGAAGGTCTTCAGAGACTGATTGATATAGGAGGTCTAGTTCACTACAGTCCCCCCTTTGGAAATCATCGCCTGTCCATGGGGATGAATTCCAACATGAACTTACGCCTCCGAATGTCCTTGATCTTGATGTAATCCAGCAAGAGGAAAACAAAAGTCAAAGAAGGTAATTTTGGTAATTCCATAATGATGTTGGTAATTCCATTGCAGCAAAGCTTTAACCCCTTGGAAACAAAGTCTGTAATCCATTGAAAAAAAAAAAGTCATATAATCCACAATGGTAAATCCACAACAATTGGAGGTGTTGATTGATCAGCAAGTAGAGGGGTTCCCTCGATTGAACTGCAGAGGCGACCACTGGATGGAGTTTGGAGACCCACGTTGGAGTTGTAGGTCCCTTCAGCGAAGGTTGCTGCTGGTGGTTCCCAGTGGATGCCATTCTGGTTATGTGTTCATGCATTTATGCGGTTTTAGTTGGGCTTATGAGTGGGATTTTACATAAGACCTTAACCTATATGCACCTGGTGTGTAAGCTTTCATGGTTTAGATCAGCTACAGATACCAGTTAAAGGGTGGGTCATGCTGAAAAATTATGTATAGGGATTTATACCTATAGAAGGGCATTCCAAACTATTCTTCCATTCCTAACTTAGTTTGTTAGATTTACATGGCAAAATATAGTTTAGTTAAATTGTCTGTTGTCCCTTTAGATGAACGACTTGAGGTTTGGGTTTTTGGTTTCCCCTAAATGTTTTTGGAGTCTATGGCGAGACTCATTTTAAGGATTAGCTAGCCCCCCCGAATAGGATCGTTCGATTAGGTTCGGCTTGAGAGTCGTGAGACCAATGTAGGTTATGGTACTTAAGGTAGCATTAATCTACATTGACTCCTCAAAGATTGAAGTTTAACAAATGAACTGCATGTTGGCATAGTTAAAGTCCTCTTAGTCTCTAACTAAAGTACACATAAAATTAATTCTTGCTGGGGGTGTTCAGAAACAATACCAAACCAAATAAACAATGTCTCAACATCGACAACAGTAGTGACCAAGCAACTAGAAGACAACATTTCAACATCGACAAAAGCAGTGATTAAGCAACTAGAAAACAACGTTTCACTGCGTCACTCACTCTGATTGTCAGATTTGATCACGTTATCGCGTCTGAGTTGTTATCTTAACATTTAATTAAGCTTAGACTTATTTAGTTTCTGCTTGGATGACCCTTTTTCCCACGAGGTCTGAGTTTGTGAGATCCTTGTCTCCTGTGGTGTTATTGAACGCCTTGTGTAGTTTGACCTGGTTTCGATGTACCCACTTAACAATTGGCTCTTTTTGGCCTTTGCTGATTTTGATCTGGTAGACAACTGGAGACAGTTTGTCTGTTATCAGGTGGGGTCCAGTCCACCTGGGCATCAGTTTGCGGGTGAGAGTTCTGGTCCCGGACTCTCCTTTCCTGGTTGTGGGGGGCGAACGTGTAGTACCAGACCCTATCTCCCACTTGGAGTTCCTCGTGAGAGGCCTTTTGGTCATGGTACGCCTTTCTTCCTTCAGCGGATTTTTCCAGGTTTCACTGGGCAAAAGCAAAGGTGTTTTTAAGGTGTTTTTCCAAGTCATTCATGTATTGTTGTGTGGTGTAGGCTGTTGCCATGGCGGCATCGCCTGGTTGGTACAACAGCTGTAGAGGGAGAGCCATTTGTCGAACCGTCATCATCTCGAAGGGAGAGATGCCAGTCGATGGGTGTGGAGTGGCGCTTATGGCCATGAGGACCAGAGGGAGTTTCACGTCCCAGTCCTGGTGGTTTGCGGCTACGTATTTCTTCAAAATACTTACCACAGTTCTGTTTGCTCTCTCCACTTGGCCTGAGGCCTGTGGGTGGTAGCCAACATGGAAGTTGACTTTGATGCCTAGCATCTTCCACAGTTTTTTCATCACTTCAGCTGTGAAGTGTGTACCTTGGTCTGAGTTCACCCTGAGGGGAAGTCCAAACCTTGAGAATACATGCTAAGTGCTCTTAGTAAGTAGTCCAACCCAGTCGATCTGGAGGTCAGACCATGGGAATGCAATGCCTCTACTTTGCAGTGGTGCTCTGTGGAGTGGTCTGGATGGCTGAAACTGGCCACAGACCAGGTACCCTTTTATGTAGTCCTTGACATCCTTTTTCATTCCAGGCCAATAAGCAACTTTTTTTAATGCTTTCAGCGTGGCGTTATCTCCCTTGTGTCCTGCGGACGGGAGGTCATGTGCGTGAACAAACATCACCCCCCTGTGGTCTTGGGAGACTACGAACACGGGTGAGGACGTTGGTCCATGAGCAAAAGTTAGGATGCCCTTGATTCTAGAATTCTAGAATTGCGCCGCTCAAGGTGGCTGCATGTTGGAGCAGCTCTGTTACTTTCATTCTGAGATTTTGCTTTTGAAAAATTTAATTCCTCTTTTTCTGGATGTAAATCACATTTTTTTTTTGGATGATTGTTTCCTCTGGTATCAGATGCTGTGCAGCTGGAAGGATTTTTACTGAAACTTTTTTAATTTTGGACATTTGTTATGATGCGTAACCATGGCAACAAGGCAGTTTTCTACAACCAACAGCAGCTGATTAACATCTCAAATGCTCAAATAATATCTCAACTACAGCCTCAAATCTCAAATGAGTTGAAAAGGATGTTCGGTGGACGCATTCTCATCTACCTGCCAGCTGTGCTCGAGAGCCTGACCACTGAGATCCTAGAACTAGCCGGAAACACGGCTCATGACAGGAGAAGGACAGGATCGTCCCTCTGCACCTACAGTTGGCTTTCAGCAGCTACGAGGAGCTTGGCAGACTGCTGGGAGGAGTGGCCATCGCTCTGGGAGGAGTTCTTCCCGGCATTCAGGCGGTCCTACAGCCTTGGGTGAACCGAGAGGCCAGCCGAGTGTGGGTGGACGGATCAGACGGCATCTGCAGCCAGTTTCTTAGGATCAGCATCTATAACATCTTTTAATGAAATGAGGATAACGAGTTACAACAACAAATAATTTCCCTTTGGGATTAATAAAGTATTTTTGA